GCTGCCTGCGGCCGGGTTCCTCCGCCGCAGATGCTCGAACCAGGCTGCGGCTGGTGCGCGCGGTGGGCGCGCGTCCCTCTGGCGCGAGCGTGCAGCCCGCTGGGTTCGGGAGCGCTCCTGCGGCTTCTCCGGCCTGGCCATCAGGAAGAGGAACCTTCTCTCGGTCTTGAGCGCGACTTTGGTCCCTCGGAAGGGTGCGGTCTTCTCACTTTGGGGGCTGGGCCAATGCAGGTCTTGGAAACCCAACTGCTCATGCTTCTGAAATAAAGCGTTCTTTGGTGGTTTGCTGGTCAGAGGACGGGGGGATATGAGTTTTTTTCTCCCTGTAAAAACCCATGCAGGTGGTGCTGAGAGTTGCCGGGCTGTTTGTTCATCTGGTCCTTCACTGTTATTGGACAAAGCCTGGAGCCAGCACCTCGGCGGTAGCCCCGACTGCTGTTCCCGGGCTGGCGCCCTGGCTCCCCTCTGCGCGGTGCGCAGGTCCTGTGCACCCAGGGAGGCAGAACCAGGAACTCGGCCTGCTGTGTAACGTGAGGCAAATCACTTAACCTTGTGTCTCATCTCTCGGTATTTAAAGTGGGAATGAGAGTGTGGAACTACCACATGGAGAGGGTATGAGGCTTAAATAATGAATCATTTTTAAAATGCTTTGCAACAAAGCACCGTAAGAACTATAGAACTGCTTTTAACAGTCCACCAGATTTGTTACGTTTCCACATATTGTTTTCTTATTTGCAGTCTAGGGAGGATGCATGGGAGCTGGAAGTTGGAAATAAAACTAACATCAAAACTACCCGTAGCAGCGAAAGGCCCTTGCACACTACCCTCCTCCAGGCTCTGTGCTCTGGGCTCAGGCCTTTTTAGCTCCAACTCAATCTCGTTTCTACCTGAGGCCCAGTTTCCTGGTCAAAAAAGACACTTCCATGTCTCTGACTGCACCCCAGCTGGCTAGCTCTGTTTTTCATCCAAGCCCTGTCTTTTTTTTTCTTTGGGTTCCTGTTTTTCTCACACGCGGTATTTTTATATTTAGAAAATATCAAAGTATTATTGATCTGACTTTGCAGATCCCACTGGATAAAGCCGGTCAGAATTGTTCAGTACAGGTAGTGGGATGTAGGTCGTGAGACTTGTGTGAACATTCTTCTTTGGAATTTGTATTGTGAAAAGCATTAAGTGAAATGTATTTTATCTCCTGCTTTTTATGTCTTGGCCAAACTAAACTTAACCCGTGAATAATCTTGATTGTTTTTTACAGAGATGAACCGTTTAGATGACTTTAAAGAGACAGCTGAAGATAAGACCAGTTGGTAGATAAAATAAGCATAGCTTGTTTTATCTATCATTTTTCATTTTAATAGATAGAAATTAAGATACATATATGCAGAAACAGGGCAGTAAAAACCTTTTAAATGTGAGTGTTCAAAGTGTACACCATGTGAACTATGAGCTTCATTTTATAACATTATTTTACTTTCAAGAACTCTGTGTCTTCTGTGTGTCCTTGAAGGATATTAAGAAGTGACAACTTTCAGATGAGTTGTCCCCTGTGCCCCGGGAAGCTGACCCACGTGTAAAAGAGTGAACTTCTTCCACGTGACTGTGTTCCATTTTCAGAACTGAGCTTTTGATTTCTTTAAGAGCAGGCTAAACGTGACCAGGAGCTTCCTGCATTTCTTAGAATCAGAAAGAAAACGAGTGAGCTGGTCCCTCACTGATGCAGTATTTCCCCAGAATCCTGGAGCCTCTGCCGCCATGCTGGATGGATCGAGATTCAGCCAGATGACTGGGCTGGGATAACAGAATTGTCTTAGAGGCTCATTCACATTTGAGAGGCATGACTCTCTGATACTTGTTTTCAAAGTTGGTTACAAATAGGAGTCACTTGGGGAATTAAAGAAAAACAACCACAACCACAACAGAACAGTTTATGGCTGGGTCCCATCCCCAGAGAATCTGATTTAATTGGCATCAGGTGCAACTTGGCATTAGTTGATTCTAGTGTGTAGCGAAGTTTGACCACCGCTATCCTATGGTGTATATGCTACCATTATGGATTGTGATACTGTGGCCAGCATTGGCCTGAGGTGGATGAATTAGTTTTAGTACCTTCTCACGTCCCTGTTGGCACTCTCTCCTACTGCTACCACTCCACATGGCTTTTCTCACTCCTTTTCTTCATTCCACCTAGTTGTCAATAAGTCCTTCCTAAGGGTTAATTTTGAATAATGAGTCGATCTACTGGGTGTGAGTCTTGGGGAGAACGTCAGTGGGAGAGGGGACATCGTGGTGTGTGGCTGGGAGGGAGGAGAGAAGGGGGAAGAAGACTGGAAGGTGTTCTGTACGGACCGTCAAAGAAGAACCTCACTCCAGAAAAACCGTCCACTCCCAGCTACCCCCATCTGTCACCCCGCCTCCCACCCTGGCTGCTTCTCCACCCTTCTCCCATAGAAGAATAACAAAAACTTGAAACTCAGCCTCAAAAATTTTGCCAACTATGGCAATAAGAGTCATTCCAATATGAAATATTTTTTAAAGATTTGCTCTGTGCTGGCGCTGTGTTGATGCTGTGGGGATATCACTAGAGAATCCACTTTCCCAGTCTGTGCTTTATTACTAGATTTTTGCCAAGAAAAGCATCTCAGACTTCAGTGACTTTTATTTAACTTGTGATGTGAGCAGTTATTTCTTCACATGATAAAAATGCATGCACATTGTCAGCAAGACATTGTTTCATATTCTAAAATCCATTCAAAAAAATGTGAAGAAAACTAAATATTTTCATGTAAGTGCATTTAAAAAATGTAATTTAAATAACGTTGAAATTGATACGTAAACCCTTTTATTGAGCTCATAAAAACTGAGATTTTTTTTTTTTGCTTTATGAAAACCCAGATTGATTTTGCTTCATGGTTTTTGAACTCACAGTTCTAGAACTGAACAAAAGTTCCAGATTTTAAAAATCTCATATTTCTTTATAAATGTAGTGACATTCTATCTTTCTTAAAAATAAAATTCTGGAACAAGCTTTTCATGGTATATGGACAGGTGTTCTCTTAATTTTCCGACCAGTCTGTTTCCTCATTAGAGACTTTAATATATTCAATGGATTCTGACGTGCACTTCTGATAAGCTCATGGTTTAGTGAGTTTAGAATCTTAGGACACAATCCAGGGTGTATCGCTATTGTATGTTTTTAGCAAGTACTGACTGTGGACCATGTGCCAAGGGCTGTGTTGAACCCTTCAGGCCATAAGGAGGCCAAGTGATGATTTAGTCTTGCATAAGCTTCACGGAGCAGAGAATCATTTGAGCCACCTCAAAAAAGGGAGGTATGAGAGAATGGACCACTTTATCAGCATGATGTATATAGATGTTTGGTACCCTGATTCATTCCTCCAGCATCTTTTTGCCCTGGTCTATAGAGGTGTACAAGTAACTACAAATCTAGTATCTTCTTCTTAAGTCTTTCATTTCTGGTGTATTCAGTGACGAGGAAGTGAACATCTAGCAAAACTGGATGTTCTGTCATTCCTTACCCACTGCTGCCTGGCCACTGCCATAAGGTCACTTGCTGCCTAAGACCAGCTCTGCAGTTGATGGTCACCTGTCCCACCGAGGGAAGTTCTTGCTTGTCTACACCTTGCCGGTGTTCACAGAATGCCTCTCACTGACCTACGATGTTATAACTCTTGCAACTGATGCTTGCATGTTCAGCCATTGGTCCCAAACCATAATGCTGTGGCTAGGTCCCCAGGGGCCTCAGTCACAACTGGGCTGGAGCCCCCTTAGGCCAGAAACAACAGATGCCTGCTCACTTTCCATTCACTTAACCCAGAGTGGTTTTTTACCAAAGACCATCTGGCTGTAAGTTTACTTTCTGCCTCTGCCTACTCACAGAAGAGCAAAGCCACACTTTCGGGAAAGGTGGGGCAGCCTGGACAGTTCAAAAGGTTGCTGGGCAGAGCGGACAAGGGGGGCTCAAATCCAGCCTGTGTTCAGCCCTGGTCAAGCTCTGCACCCTAGCATGGACATACATGTGCTCCCCCTCCCCCAAAGAGGAAACCTATTTCTTTGCCCAAAGGCCATGGGCTTCTGTCCAGCTAGGAGCCGACCATTGGTCAAGCTTCGTATGTATGAGATATATGCCTTTTATCTCATACAAACCGATGGTGATTCTGAACCTGAAGTTGGCACATTTTAAAATTCATCTTCACCTGATACCCTGTAGCAGAGGCTGGAACACTAAAAATCATCTTCACCTGTTAAATAAGGCTGTACCTGTTAAGTCAGGTTGCGCTTTAATCTATAGCTGAAACTAGGGAGTTGTCAGGAACTGAGACAATCCTAGAGGCCAGTTCCTTTTTATCTCTCTAGTGCTTTCTCTAGGATGGCATGGTCTCACCTGACCTGAGTTTCTCTTCGCCTCTCTGCTGAGCAGCTTTCTTCCTCTCTAATCTGAACAGATTTGCCCTCACAGGGGCTTCCTCATTTCATAGCAGGCCATAGGTCATAGGTCACAATGAAGCCTATGGATTGTCTGTTCTTGATCTGATGATACCCACCCAACCTCAAACCAGTTGTGGCCTGGAGAGTGAAGTCATCACGCAGTGCCATTGTGGCCACTTAGAAAGGATCGAGCCAGGGCAATTTTTTTTCATTCATTCATTCGTTCATTCAACTGATATTTACAGAGGTGAGGGCGCCACTTAGAAAGGATCGAGCCAGGGCAATTTTTTTCATTCATTCATTCATTCATTCATTTAACTGATATTTACTGAGGTGAGGGTTACTATGTGCCAGTCACTGTTCTAGGCAC